GCTTAGAAAAACTGGATTAAAAGGATGAGCTACTGCTAAGCTAGCCGAGGCAGCCACTTGAATGAAATGGTATTCCATAAATAGTGGGAATGATTGGACTTGACTAAGCCAAAAACATACCGAAAATAATTGATTAATGTATTCTTTTGAATTTTTAAAAAGAACCTCCTTATCGACTACTAAGAAGAAACCAATGTATGGACCATCATATATTGAATGTTAAACTAATTAATAAATTTAGCGTTACCGTGAAAAATAGCGAAATACCAATAACTTCTGGAATACAACATTTAATAAATATAAGGAGATCGCGGATCAAATTGTAGCTAGTTTCGACCACTGTGCAGCTTGTGATCGGCGTTATTGTTGCCACAGTAGCTTTGCTTGCAATTTCTGTGTGTTAGTGTATGTGTGTGTGTGTTGCTTAAGTAAATTTCAGTGTACTCAGACGCAAACACTTACGGTCTGTTGCGCCTCAGTTGCTACTGTCATGGTTTAGCGAGCAATCCAACCAGGCTAATTGCCAAGCAACCTTGCGGCATTCAAATTAATTGCAACTGCAACCCATTCCCGAAACTTAAGAGTCGGCATTCGATGTAAAGTTACATTTTTAACATTTTTGCCGCAAAAGAAGATTGTTAAATTAATTGTATAATTGTAATATCATTGCGTAATTATGGCAAATATTTGTAATGGACTGCCGCGAACTGTGCGGTCATTCAATATGCAAATATTTAACATATTTTCACCAGTAACTCTTAATTAAAAAATAAATAAATGCGTGCACATCACGAGGTATTAATGATAATGAGTAATCCAATCAATGCTGGAATATGGCGCCTGAACTTAAAGCAGGTGTTAAGGGCAGAGCCAAGGATGTAGACTGAGACCAACAAAACACACTTGAGAGGCCCAAAATCCGACTCTTTATCTTCCCGGAAAACTTGCCATAAACTTGAAATTGCTTTTTAATAGCATTTCGCGTTAAAAGGCAGAATGAGCGGCATAAAATGCAAAAGATTAACTGTGCCCCGGGCCACTAAAATTGAAATTGAACATGCAACGTGCGCCGCTTGGACACAATAAAATAATGAGCACCAAATTACGCAGCTTCGCACACAAAGCGCTGAAAAATGGCCACAGGCGCCATCAAGCGGGTCCGAGGAGGAGGAGGGGTGAGGTCGTTGGGGTGGCGCAAATGAATTCTAAAAGCTTTTGCGCCAAAGTGTTGACAGCCATTTGGGTAATACGCTCAAGCAGCCAGGAGGACCGTCTGGCGGCGGTCAGGGACGCAGAGGCGTTCCAAAGACACCGGCGACCCGTGCGCAAGCTAAAAGTGCGTAAAAAGGTTGCTGCTAAAACAATTACAACAATTGCGATACGAAAGGCAACAACAACAGCAACAACATCCAACACTAAAGCAGCAACGACAGGCGACAGGCGCAGATTCCAGCAAATTTATTTGCTGTGCGATAATTTTCAAGAACAAAAGCGAAAATATTCATAGCAACATTGTGGACTGCCTGCCTGCCTGCCTGCCTTCGGTATTGCTGACAGTTTTATTGGGGGCCCGGTTCGACCCATTGCACGGCACCGGCATTTTTCAAAGTTACGGAGTTCGTGAAAGCAGCAACTTGACCTTTAATTACCTTTACCGGCGAGAGTATTTGCAAAAATGCGCGTAAGCTGAAAATAGGTAAGCAAAGAAAATAATGCGTTTACTTGAATTCCAAGCAACTTAAAAGAACGCTCAAAGGCGCATGCACAATCGAAAGACTTGATTCATAAGTATTTACTATGTATTTGGTATAAACAACTGTAAGAGAACTCGAATTAGTAGGACCAAAGGATGTCAAAACAAAAAGCAAACATACCTGTTTTTTTAATTTTGTTAAAGTCAACACTTTCATTGTATTTGGAAACCAAAAACTTATAATCATATACATATGTCTTATTGTGTTAAAAATTATTATTTTTTAAGCCATATGGAAATTAATTATGTGTGCAAAACTCAACAACTACTTATATTAAATAACTATTTTGGAGTATATGTAAATAACTACATTGGAGTATATGTATGTACTGAAACATTTGAAAATCGATTCAAACAACAAATATTTATGGTACGGTGTTCCCATTGAGTTCCTTTGCCTCCGAGGCATAGAATCTTGTAATTTTAATTATGGCCAATTCCGATGGTATTTTTAAAGCTACTTCATAATGCCATACTGTTTTGAATATGAAAATAATTTGGCAGAGAGTATGCCCACACGATCCCCTACAGGATTAAGACAATATAATATATAATAATTATTGGTTATATAATACTGTTGCGTAATTATGGAAATTCCTTTGGATAGGTTGTATAAATTCGATTTAGAAACACATACTAGTAAGATTAGTTGACTTTTTTTAAAACACACAACTTATTGAAACTAACAGACAGATGAGCAAACGGTTGATTTATCTCGTCATATACTCTGTTCATTTGATTAACGCGGTCGATTGTAAAATATCTAAAAATCTTGCACCGATGGTCTTCGCGCATAGCAGAAGCAAGATGAAGAATAATTTTTACACTAATACCTTTTTTTTATGGATTAACCGATTTGTATAAAATGTGAAATAGTGGTAGAATTACTTTTGCGCAATTTAGTGGTATTTTAGAAATAGTGGCATTTTGAATTTCTGCAGAGTGAAAGAGGACCCAAAATCAAATCAAGAATGGAATGGAGCGAGCTGAAATCAGAAAGAAAAAACACAGGAGAGTGAATAGAAAGTCATTTCCGCTCTTATACTTTCCTTGCAACCTTTAAGTGTGTTACCTAAATGATGTGTAAAACCCGTATTAGTAATCGCAGATATTTCTTTCTGACTCTATAGCATCTAATAAGCTTCGGGTGCAGAGTATACTAATTTGGGGTGAAATTTACGCACGTTAAATATCTACCTTTTATGGATGGAGTTCAAATAGATGTGAGAAGGCCAGCTAGAAGTTTTTATAACATTTCACTTTTACATTCTGTCGTAGCTTATTATGTGTGTTCTGCTGCTACTGCTGGGGCCTTTGGTGGTGGTGGTGCTGGTTTCGGCGGTGCAAGTTGGACTGCATTAGCATTAAAATTGTTATCGTGATTCAGTTGATTACACGCAACAGCCACCGACGCCGCCAGAGACCAAACTAAGTACTTAAGGATGGGCTCCAAAATGGAAATAGATAAAGAAGCGCGAAAGCAAAAACCTCCAAGATTTTATGCTTGAGCTGCCACAATGCTGGCGCTGGCGCTGGCCAGTTGGTCGCCATTGCGGTCCACCCCAGGAGCAACAAGCTGTGCATCCGTGCCCCAACAATGGCGTGTCTGTGTGTCTGCCTGCCAACAACTGATAGTCAACAACAGGGCGGCTCATCTTCATTATGATATTTTTTATTTTTATTTTACTTTCATTCGACTTTCATTTTAAGTTTTTCCCACATTTTCTTAATATTTTGTATTTTAATTTGGCTTTGATACTAATTTCATGGACATGGCCATGGATTCTCCTCGCTTTTTTCCATCTTAGTGTGAAATTAACTTAGGCAAATTATTTTGTGCATTTTCAACAGGGCGTGTAATTTTTTGGAGGCGCTTTATGGTCAACGTTGTTTGTTGCTGCTTTTTTCTGTGTTTTTTTTTTGCTGATTTAATTTTGCTTTTCACAACTTTTTTAATTCCTTTGTCATTGTTATTTGCGCATTAAGTTTTCTGCTTCTTTTTTCCTTAAAGTCAGAGCTCATGGACCATGGGCGCGTGCAGATAACATTGTGTATGGCGTTTGGGGTCCGCCGAGTCCTTTTGTGGGCGCCTTTGTTGTTCAGTTCCAAATTAAGTGGAAAATAATGTTGACGCTGCTGACGAAAGGCGAGCTCATAACTTGAATGCGAATTGGTTTTATCTACAATTCAGTGGGCAGTTTAAGTGAAACAGACATACTACATAGCATTTCTTTATAGTAATTTTTATTAAAAATGTAATTTTTACAACTAAACGTTTAGCTTAGCAATCTAGTATAATGTCGAATAAACTTAAGTACACATAGAAGAGTGTGTTGTCTAGAAATTCATAATAAAATGCATAATTCTTGGCCAGTTAGAAACTATTTTAACCTTTTGTCTTGTAAAATCGAGAACGAGCCTAAAAATATACAAACAATTTGCTCAAATACACATACAATTTATTAAGATTGCAATGGCAGTTGTTGATGGTTGTTGTTATTGTTGTTTTCGGTTGCTGCGCGTTTTGTGCAAACAAAAGCATAAATTTGAATAAAGCAAATTTGTGAAATGTCCCACAAACGCAAATAAGAATCACCTTTTACTGTTAATTATTAATGCTTTGACCTATTTAAACTATGGACTGATTTTAGTTAATTATTCTTGTTTCTACATAAATATGACCTTCTTCTTTATTTGTTAAAATGTATTCAAGTATTGCTTGTATTTGTTGTTATTGTTATTGTTGTGTATTAAGTTCAAAAGTCTACGTTAAATTTAATTTTATGTAGTAGCGCATTGGAAGCATTAATTATGTACTCGTATGTGTGTATAGTATGTATATGTATATATACCTTTATATATTCTTGTATATTGTTTTTTGTGTGCGTTTCGTCTGCGGCTGCTATTTATGCTTGAATGTATGTTTGTATGTTTGTATGCATCTGTGTGTGTGAATTGTATATGTATAACTTTTTCATATGCTTTTATCGATTTGCATTTAAATAGGCAATTAATAAATTTATCAAAACTTAACATCACATTGCTTCTCCGTTTACAATTAGGTTGTAGTGTTTGTTTTTATTTATTTTCGTATTTCATTTGTTTTCTTTTGCGTTTATTTGATTCGATTTGATTTAAATATATAAAATGTAAAATTGTTCATGCGCGAAAATTTAATTCGAATTAGTTATATAATACTTGGTTTCATTTTTTAAATTTTATTTGAAGTGGTTTCTATTTGCTTTTTAAATGCTTATATATATGGTATGCATTACATTTAGTTTTTTATTTTTATTTTATAATAACGATATGAAGTGATTTTGTTTTGTTTGCATGTTTCGAGTGTTAGCTGATTGTTAAAATTCTTGTAACTTGCTAGCTATTTGTTCTTTTTGTTATGGATTTCATTTATGCGGTATATACTTGTATGTATGTATGTCTATGATTTTTTTCTTTAAATTTATTACAACCTGATGGCGCATTCGTAGCGCTCAGATTACAAATATGCATATATGTATAATAAATGCCAGCTAATAAATGCACTGTATTGGAAGTATTTATTCATATGCTACGGTAAATATGTATACAAGTATGAATGCATATATGTGTACATGTATGCATGCATGTCTGTATGTATGTATGTATGGATGGGTGTATGCATGTAGGTATGCGCTAAACTACCAAAAAGTTTAACAAGTTTTTGTTTTCTTTTTCTATTCAAAAGTGCCTTGTACGAGTATATTAGGAAGTTGCATTTATGTATGTAGATGTATGAAGGTGTGTAGGTGTGTTGGTGTGTGTATGTATGCGTGTTCGTTGGTTGTATAGTGAATGCTTAGTGCTTAATGCTATCAGTTCAGCGCCAATTGGATGCTGTACACGTATCATGGGCGTGGTTCCTGTGGTCGTCAAGTGAGTTTAAAATTAGGCTGTTCGAGTTTTGATTTGCCGTTTGCTCTGTTTTTTGTTTTTTTTTTGGGGGAACTTTCAGTTGGCTCTGTAGCTGGTGCTGCTCCTGCTGCTCTTCACAAAATACAAATTATTGAAAAAGTTTCATGGACGTTGCCGGTGGCGTGCTGCTGATGATTGTTATCCCATACTTTTGTTGTTCGTGATATCAGACATTGTTCTTGCGAAATATCTCATTTGGGTGCTGATTGCTGCTAAAGTTCTGACGTGTCGAGCATTGCTGTGAAAAGACATTACAAATTATAAGATAAAGGACTTGTAATTGTTGTTGTTCATTTCACCGGAGTAAAGGTAATTATTACTCACATTTTCTTTATTTATTTTAACAAACCTAACATTGAAAAATGTATTTTTACGTATTCTTACTTAATTGCGGTTTATAAATCAAACAATATTGTTGATATGCAGTTGGGTTTCATATTAAAACAAAAAATGCAATAAGTGCTTCCTAATAGGCGTTACAAACTTAGGTAGCAAAAACAATATACCCTTACATTTTAGGAGATGTATAGAAGCTATGTATATTTGGAGCTGATTTTACGAATCATAAAGTTAAATAAAAATATATATAAAATAGTACTGATAAATGATACCGACGTATTTAATTTATGCTGGTTTGTTGATTTTCTTTTAGTCATAGAAACTAAAAATAAAACACTGGCGGACTAATTGAGGGAGGTCACTTGTTCCGAAATACTCCATTAGTAGTCCCCGAAGCATTACATTTCTATATAAGTTGACCACATTTTGGACTGGATTTGTTAGTTTTTTGAGGGATATTTCTCATTATTTGTAAAGGGAATTTTGATTGATTTGTGCGACAACTTGAATGCGAAGCGAGCCTAGTCATAGGTTACATATACACAAGTGCTTAGCGGGCTATAAAATGATTGCATTTTAATTGCTTGCCCCTGTAGATGAGGGCAAGTTAAAGAAGGTAATTATCATGCATTCAGGTCACACCTTTATTGCTGTCATGGGCCACAGGAGCCGCCACCACAAAAATCGAGCAGCTGGCGAACACTTGATTGCCCCGCTCCTTAGTTCTGACACACTGGCCAACCGTGTAGATAATGACAGCTTAACTACTTTACGCCATTTTTGATTTGACGCCACTGTCAGTTTGGCCTGAGCTGGCAAGCAGGAGGCTATTAAAATAATTGCCAAGCTAATCATTTATTATGACATGTGTGCGCTGCCTTCTAGCCAGTCTGACTCATTAGTCAGTCGCTAATACCTGTAGCTATGTAATTGAAATCGAGCGAATAACTTACCGCTTGTTTCTTTTCCCAGGATTTCATGGCAGTTTTGTACTTCTCGAATTCGTGACACCAATCCGAATAGATTTTCTGATAGTCATTGCTTTTGTTAGGCGGCGTGCATCTGTTCAATCGTGCAGTGAGAGTAAGGATCGTGGCAAATTAGACTCTATTTGGCGAACTTACCTATGGGCATCGACGGTTATGTTGTAGCTGCAAAGCAACGAACCTCCCAAATGGCAATCGTACCGCCCGCCATCAGCCTCATTCACCGAAACCACAACTAGGCCCCTTTCCGTGGTCTCGATGTATTTGGTGGGACTGTACTTGATCTCGTACCTGCAACGGTTTAATAATTAATTACATACTATTCATTCAAAACACAGATTGAGGTACAATCCCAATTTTCCGATTGCAATTAAAATGTGGGGTTTTGGTTAGGTGGAAAATGAGGGCTCAGCAGCCACCTTCAAAATTAAAAGTACACTGGTCCATATTGCGATTATGTTTCGTTTTCCTTTCGTTATCTCTTTAGAGACTTTGCAATCAAAATGATCTCTATAATTTCAAAAATATTTGGAATAATAGTAATGCTGCAATTTCTGGCCTATTTCATCGTCCCTTCTTATGTTTCTTTTCTTTTCGCAGCTAGTGTCTGTCTAAAATGTAGAAATACTGTATTTGAGTTCACTTACCGTCCTTTATCCTTGGAGTGATGGTACCATGTGACCTGCTCGTTTTTCAGCACCTCGGGTATTTTGACAAAGCAACCTAGGTGCACACTCTGGCCGTAGGTGACAACTATTTTCTTCTTCAGCACGCTCGAGTCGCAAATGTCGCTCGTCTCATTGGCCACATCCTGTGTGAAAGTATTTTGCATATGTATAGTATTTTGTGTTGTTGTTGTTGTTGTTGCCGCTGCTGTTGCCGTTGCCGTTCACTTACCTGCAACAGATCCAATTCATATGGACGGCACGTGTTCGCCTCCTTGTCCCATCCGCAGTAAGGATCACGCACACAACGGAAGCAGTTGTCATAACGTCGATTACACATTGCCAAATCGATTTGTTTTATGCGATGATCTGTTCCAATGTACAGCGATTTACGTGTCTGGCTGATTTCCATTACCTGTATGGCCTCGTTGGGCGCCACCTCGAAGATGTCCAGCAGTTTGGACAGTGATTCGCCATTGCGGTAATACTGCACGATTTTGTAGATGCGACCCAGATTGGTGCCCACATAATAGACGGTATACTCTTGATTTAATATGTCGATTTTTATTCTGGAAAATAACAAAAGTAATGATGAGCGTTGGAAACAATGTGCCGCTTATGGCATTAATAGCCGATTGTTCCTGACTCTCTGTGTGTGTGTGTGTAATATACATATACTGTCATGGAATCTCGGATTCGTATGCAAAAACGTAAAATTAATGCCTATTTAATTTGATAAACGACGTGCATATTAATGAATAAATACGAAAATGTGTGCTTTTTCACTTGAAACTTGTTGTTGTTGTTGTTGTTATTATTGCTCTGCATATTTCGCATTATGTGAGCTGCATTCGGACAGGAAGGCGCCAATAAAAATTATTCGAATTCGTACTCTCCACATATCGATGTGAATCAAGGGCTGGGCTGTATTGTGCTTGCGAGCGTTTATCGTTAAATTAAGGTATTAAAATGCCATGCATGAAATCGCAATTTGGCGGGAAGTCGGCAAAGAAGACTGGAGCTGCAATGGATGCGGGCTGGTAATTATGTGTCACACTCACACACACACTCATACACTCGTATTTATGTATACTTGTGTATATGTTTAAATGGAAGCGTTATGATTGAATATCGCCACGCAATAAATGCGGTCATTTTGAACGGTTGTTGTTATTTTGTTTTTTTTTTTTTTGCAATGAATATCTATTAAATTACAATTAAGTATTAAGTTGAATAATTTCAATTAATGTTCGGCACAAAATAATTGCATTTTAATAAGTAGAAGAAAAAATGTATTATTATGATTAAATGCGTGGCATTTGTGAATTGTTGCAATAATATTGTACAACCGACTAGGAAACTGCACAGACACACATATTAATGGATGTACTAAATGTTAAATATATGAGCATTTTTTTGTAGCTTAAATTAGTGCTGATCGTATGAATAAATAAATAATATCAATAAAAGTATATACAATACGATTATGTCCATATTTTTTAGTGTAAATTAGTGTTAAGAGTATGATTAAATAATATAATCTGAATGGCTAGATTGCACTTGTCATATAAATTAATTGTTTTGCATACAATTGGGACTAGCAGTTCATTTAAGGTGTTGTTTTGTTGTTGTTAATACTGTCCGAGTGCATATGCAATTTATTTTCATTTCGATTGTCTTTAAAAATCGGTGGCCACATTTGCAATGCATTTCAATTAAAAATATAAGAACTGCAATTCAGAATATTTAAGTGGTTTCCAGGAGCCTAAAAGGCTTACACATATCTTTTGTGAGCAATTGTGTTATTTCTTTTTATATTTTTTCGGTCGTTCGGTACTTAAAAAAACACTCAGACAGACCGACAAATAAAATGAAATACAAGTAGTAGTAGAAAATTGAGAACTCAAGTACATGTATTTGCACTTTCCAGGTATCGGCACCAAGTCGACCACAAAGAGATAGAGAACGGAATCAAAATAAATAAATTAAAAATAGAACATAACATGTCCACAAAACTCACGACACACATACAAATACAAATACAAACACAAACAGCAACACACGCACACAAATAAAGATGGACGTGATTGCTTTTGCATAAAAATACGAGTGAGGAGGAAGGTGTTGGGCGGGTGGGTGTGTTGATACAAAATTGGAATTAAACTTACTTGTCAACAACGAGCTTTGTGAAAACCAAATCCCTTTTATAATAGACTGGATTGTTGTGCTCGTGATTTACGGCTTTGTCCATAAGTGGATGCGACCGAATGAAGTTCAGCACAGTGTCGGGCAGATTTGAGGTATCGTTGACACATGTGCCGGGCCTTGGTTCGGGCACGCGCGAGTTCAGCACCGGCAGCCAGGCCGAATTGGACGAGGACTGCTCCTTAAATTTGCCTGCAATGCAATGGAAATAAAGAACAAAAAAATAAATAAAAACTCGCATAAGCGACTGAGCTCTTCATCCTGCTACTGCAGCATTCCCAGCAAACTGTGAAAATGAAGTTTTAAATCTGCGCGCCCCTAGGTATCAGCTGTACGCTGGATGGTTAAGCGCCTCAACTGCTGCTGAAGGGAGCTAGAGTGGGACCCGGCACGAGTGCATGTGTGTGTGTGGCAATAATCCATTCAAATGGATTTTCTAATACGATTTATGTTGCTGCTACTGCTGCTGCTGCTGCTGCTGTAGAAATTACAAAACACTCAACGTGAGGGCAGCTTCGCTTTCGAGTACCTATTCGCATTGGATTGAAGCACAACTGTCCGCACTGGGGAGCAAACTATAATGTAATATAACATAGAGGCGGGCGCGTGAACTAGATATATGTTCAGAAAATACACAAGTTGTATATCGACCGCAATATAAGCGAAGATCTGAACTAAGATCAGTTATTACAGCATAATGCAGAAGCAGTGTTATAGAAAGTTTGAAAATACTTTAATTTTTATTTTTTTATTTTAGCTTACTTGGCACCTTTCAGAACGAAGAATTATCTGGCCACCCACGTTTGTTACAAGGAGGAAATCGTCATAGCCGATTGTGTCTTTTTATACATCGAATTTTAGAAATTATTTTTTAAAATTGAAATTTTAAGTATCGCTCTTCAAGCGATTATTATTACTTGCGGCATGATTCGAACCCATGTCTACACTCTGAAGCGAACTCACAATCGGATTCCTGCTAGCTAGTTAGCTCAACTGCCAGGGCCCAAGCTTGAAAATAGTTAAATAATGTTGCTATGAAAAATATCAATTATATGAAATATCCCTTAAACGTCCTGAGATCTAAGATCCTAAAGGTATTTATGGGTACAAATGTAGTTTGGCTTCGTACAAACATTTGCAGTCACGAGCACAGCACTTACTTTAAAAGAACTACATCGCTTGGCTTCGTTCTGCCGTGTGTGGACGAAACAAATGTGTAGCTTGCAAATAAAATTTACCGATAAGTTGCTTTTCGCAAATGCAATTCCCACAAAGCACGTGGGCTAAGTTGAGCGAGAAAATTGCATGCCAGTCAGCTGCTGTGACAGTTTCCCAATGAAAAATGTGGACGCGACGGGCTTAGAAGACAATTGCATTGAATGGATGCATGCATCCATCCATGTGTACTTACCATTAAAGGCTGCCTGCACCTCGTTAATGTGAAAACTGCATACAGCCGAACCGATCAATCCGTTGGTGCTTGTTGTAAACGTCGCATAGAAGCGCGTCTTGTCTGAGGGCAGCTGATAAACCGATTGTATCTCATTGAAGTAGAAGGGGAATTCGCCGGAGATGCTACAGTTGAGACGGGCCTTCAGATACGTGGCCCAATTGTGCGCAAGAAGATTTTTGCCGCCCACATCCTTTTTGCAAACGCGTGCGATGCGCGAATAGACCGCCTTGCCGCAATTAATGTACTCCACGGCCGTCTCCCGGAAGAAGAAATACACGTACTCTCCAATGTCGAAGGAGCCCACAAAGTTCGGTTCTGTGAAGTGTAGACAAGAGCCATATGTGAGCAAGGATCTAATTGGCTTGCCCATGCAGTCTAAGCGGCTTAGCACGGTATACTTATGGACGCGCCCGCACCACCCACATGTGGCATACAAGTACAACGTGCGTGGGTCGATTCGTATTTATGCCTCGACAAGAAAAAAAAAATACAAAACAAACTCAAGCGCGAAATCACTTGAAATCCTTTTTCAATTTTATCTAGCAGCCAGCGACTGGCAATTTTTGTGTTTTGTTGTTTTCTTTACTGCCCGATTTGTTTGCAGGCGTGTAGCTCTTGAATGTATAGTAGAAGAGGCCTAGGGGTGAGAAAAATACGCTTTACTTACTGTCCAGCCACTTGGAATCATATTTGAGCGTGCGCTTGAATTTGTATTCCAAGCGCTTTGCCGAAATATTATACAAATCTGTGCGAAAGATCACAGTATCCGCTTTTGTGAATTCCGCATTGGTGCCCGAGTACTGTGAGGACGAAAAGTGAAACAGCGCATTAAATTGGAGTGAAGAATTTAAGCAGTTTTCTCAAGTGACATTCAAACAAGTTCTGTGAAATCAATTGAGATGCCAGACTGTGCACACACAGTGTTAATAAAATATTTGCAAATATTTGTACATATTCACAACAGCTTCATATAAAATATGTAATAAAAATCGCTTACCAAGCCAGGTAATCCTCCCGGATTGCCATCCTCCACATAAATTGCCGTCGAATTATCAAGCGGATCATAAGGACATTTCGCAATTCCCTGACCCACACCGATCACGTATTCAGAACGTGGCAAATGGGTTAAGTTCGACTGCAAAAACATTTAAAATAAATGAACAGCAAAAAACGTTTTGAAAAAGTTCAAATGAAAAGTTGTGAAATGTATTTTGTAGCTCACTAAAGAAATGCTCGCACGTAAATGGGTCACAAATGTTTATCATTGGGGGAGCAATTACAAAAAAAAAAGTGAAAACATACAAAACAAAAAGTAAACACATAGTACATACTATGTAAAATAATTGCACATATTATAGTAAATTGCTGTAAACAAGGATTAGTAGATTTTTATGCGTTTCCTCTGATTACTGGCTGTTCCATTTGACTTCAATTAAATTGGGAGGAATAAAATCCGAAACATTAAGCGGAAATCTAAATTTTTTTCTGTACTCCCTTGTTGCCATTTATTTGAGATTATCTAAGGGGCTTTAGTTGCCACTTAGTTGTAATACGTTCTAAAAAATGCTGACACAGTCATATAGCCTGAGCAGTAATGGGGTTAATTTGAACGTAACGGATATATGTAAATAAAATATCTTGAAATTGTTAGCTTTGGTTCATTAGAGTTGACTAAAGTTTCAAATACAACTTTAGCTTGGAAAGGATTAACACTGGCCGACACACATTTTAGTGCCGAAGTTTTTAGACCTGATTTTAAGAATGTCTTGTGAGATGATTTCAGAGAACTAGATATATTTTTTATAACAGCTCGATTTTATAAGATTGGGGAAAAACAACACATTTTTGGCGAAATAACAATTTATTTTGGTATTATTCATTAAGAAATTGTCTTTAGAGTAATTTTCTTGAGTGAAATTATCTTGAGCAATCACGCATAAGTCCCCAGCAATAATCAAATATCATGTGAATTTTGCATCTGCCTTGGTACCTTTTCTTTCATTCTATATCTTGATGGAAGCGTTCTCCTCGTTCTTCACTAAGATCTCCTAAATTATATTGAATGTGATCTATAGGGAGGTCGTGCAGTTTTACGCTCATATTACAGCCTACATTTTTGAAGCTAAGAAGCATTTGCTCGACAAGCTCTATATAGTTATCAGCCTTATACTTTCCACGGAAGATTTGCACAACAGCTACAAAAAATATCTACGCAAGTTGTTCTTTTTTAGTCAGGCCTGTGTAAGGCAATGCAGTAATTTCTTTGTAAGATTTGAAACTTAAAACTGTATATTTAATTACAAAGATCAAATATAGTCGATGCCTTCTTTATAAATACGCACATGTAGTGCTCTAAAAAGGCAGAACTCCGCCCAACTTTCTACTAATTGTTAAGCTGCGACCGAACAAAATGAAATGGCATAAAAACTTTCCATGCAATCTTCAAGCATTGCTTTTTGTGTTGTGTTCATGTTTTATTTTTCTTTTTTTTCCAGGCGGTAAATTAAAATGTTTAGTTCAGTTCTGCAGACTCCCTGCTCCCCCAACCAATTGTTGGACCATCTCATCTCTTTGTGTGCAACTTTTTTCCCCCACACTCCCATAGAGAAAAGATGAACTAAGCTGCACAATTGTGCGTCTTTGGAGAGAATTTGCTCGACAGCAGCACCTGCAGCTGCACACAAATGACTATTTTCACACAATGTGTGGCAAGCAACTGCAAGATAGAATACAACACGCATAATATGTTGTTTGCTGGAGAGGCGGCACTCAAGTGTGAAGCAAGGAGAACCAACCGCTCAGGCTTACTCGTATATTTGTTGAGAAAAGATTGCATACTGGCTCACACTGATTGCTATCTAGAGTCAACACTCAAAGCAGGCCGTGCTTTATTTCGCTATAAGTCCTTTGAATGCATGAGCCAGCTGTCAATGCGTTTCCATTGCGTGGCTGCTTAGTCGTAGTCGTCATAGTTGCAACAATTAACTGGCCTTGGCACGAAATACGCGGCAGTCGCTGCAGGCAGCGCAAACAACTTTATGGATAGATATGTGTCTACTTATTGCGGCACTCGAGTGCGTGTACTTACATAGATGACATAATCCTTGGGATTGTGCGCATTTGTGCCACAAACGTAGAGTCGGTCACCCTGTTGCATGGATTGTATAACGCGCACATGATTCTTGCAATCGAAAACCTGAAAGAAAAAGAGTCAGTAACGTTAATTCTGGTATTGTGCGTTTGTGAGATGAGCTCTAATTTTTTCAAAGTCAAAGCCTGATTTGTATTGAAATTACATTTCCGCTGCCTTTCAATTTCATTTCCGGTCGCTTCAATCTATGAAAGGGGTTTTGGTTTTTTATTTACTAGTGATTTTTTTTCTTAAACTTCCGCTTGTTATACTGATTGATCAAAGCATAATCGGCATAGAACTTTGTTGTTTAATTTAAACGTTGCTTTAGAATATTTGTGGCGCTCGTTTGGTTAAAAGTTTAAGTAGCTCTACTTGTTTATCATTTTCGTATTCAATTATATATTTTTACAAGTCAAGTTTGTCGGGCGATAGGAATTTGCAGCACGCGCTTGCCTAAAAGGATGCAATAAAATTCAGTAGAGTGCATGGGAGCTAACTGAGTGCCAGCTGCGTCATTTAAGCAGGAAAATGATGATAAAGTGGTGCAAATTTGTGTCACATGCAGTCGGCTGCCATTTGTCATTGTTTCATAAATGGTTCATACAAGTACAACAGAGTGTAGTACACACAAACATTTAGGAACAGACGTGTAATGAGCACAGCTGTTTGGCGTGCGCCTGAAATCGACGTATAAATCGAAATTGCTTGGCAGTGCAACAAATTTGTGGCAGCTATAATAATACCAGCACAATGCTACAAATTGCGACTGCACGAAGCGCCCCCTAAATCAATTGGCAACAATGCAACTGAGGCAAAGTTGCAAGCAGCAAAATCACGACGTGTGCGCGATTCGCAATTCGCAGAGAGGGCACAGAAGACCGAAGACAGCCACAGCGGTATTATGATGACTTAAGCAAGACACGCACACGTACTCGAGGATGGAATATTGTACGAGCATGTATTGTGCATGTGTGCACCAAAAACAGTTGAATTGACATATAGATAGCAGTTGATAGCTATAGCTAGAGTTGCAGAATTGCGCGCTGGGATTTTCCTGCGGTTTATGTATGCAACTGAAAGCGACTGCACAACAAATTGAAAAGCTACAAATAAATTGAAAAAGATTTCAAATGAAAGGATATGCTGTCACATTATAAACGAGTTACAATAACAGGCAACAGGCACTGAATACAAGGGCAGTGGCAGTGGGGGCAGCCTCCTTTCGCAAGCAAGCAACGTTGCAAATGTGGTGGTTCTAAGTGTACTACGACTATACATATGTCGTGCTCCTAAAGCAAATGGATGCACTCTAAAACGAAGTCAGTGTGTTGTGCATGTAATCAGAAGGTGCCACCTCCGATGTCGTTGCAAATCGTATGATCTAAAAATCAATCAAATATTGCAGTTCCTCTTTGTTGCAAGTTTTCGCGATTTGACGAAGTCAGCAAAGTGTTTACATAAATGTGACCACAGACGCCACTTGCCATGCTACTCCCATGCATGTAAATACAGTACACATCGAATTTAATGTAGACATTTAAGTACACCTCTTAAACATGAGTGGTTTGGCAATAGCTTTGAAGAAAGCCGAGTTCAATCGAATGACTTCCAAGTGAAAATGTGCATTTTTGTTCACCCACCTGACTTTTTCCTTTCGATACGCAACTGACTACATCGTCGCGCGTGGGCTCCAAGTTGATGACATCACGCTGCAAATATAGAAAAAATGGAAATGGTATTTAATAAAAGCTACAAAAATTAGAATTTTTTTAACACACACACACATACACCCCTCTTTTTTGCTATTACTAAAGAAGAGTAGAACTTTATGATTTTTGTTGTTTTTGTTATTCTTTATTGAGTCAGAGCTTCTCTCTAAATGATATTTGATTTTACATTATGTTGTGGCAGCAAAGTAAATCGATTTTTAGGAGCTCCGATCCGCGATAGGCCAACATACAGTTGGGCATGAATAAAACATTCCTACTATTTCGAAGGTTTGGCCTTGAGACTTGTTAATCAGTAGTTAACGAGAATGATGTTTTTATCAGAAATTGAAGCCGTTTAAATGGGACTGGCAGATCAGTTGGGATCATCGATATCCTCGATATATGAGCCAGTTGACCTGCTGCAGGGCCGGAGATGGTCGCTACAATTAAATTGACCTTCAATTCCTCAAAAAGCAACCTCGTGCCAGTGCACATGATCGGAGGGATTAAATTTCTCAAAAGCATGATTGGAATTCCGATTTTAACTTCAATTGCTGGACATTGGACTGTGTTTTCGATATTATTCACGGTGTCGATCGACTTTAAATTTTTTATTTGACCGGGGACTTTTGAATAATATTGTCTTCATATTTAAAGTGACATAATGTTTCGACAATGATACTGAACTAAGAGCAGACCATTTAGGAATTGTTTAGGTAATTTTTTAAGCCCTACGATACATATTTGGCGTTTTGGTAAGGATCCCCATTTTTTTGTGCAAATATAATATAGCCTGTGTTACGCGGGGATAGTGTAGCTTCCCAACAGTGAAAGAATCCTTTAAAACGGCCCAGTAGCTTCAAAGCCTATTCAATTTCAATAAACATACAAACAAACAATCAAATCGTTCCTCTTTGTAATATTAATATATATGATTACAAGGGATGTATCAAGTAGTTCAATGTCTGAAACTATGAGACCGAACTCAGCCCAAGTCCGACCGCTATCCAGCATAGACCAAAACTCTGGCTCTGAATATACATATATTGTGACAGATTTTGGGCAACGCCAACAGCAACGTCCACAGCAGCAACAACAATATTGCCACAAAGCAGCAGCAGAAGGCAAAGTTGGTGAAACGGGTTAACTGACTTGTGGCTTGGGTACCGTTCCCTGGCGATTGTGTTGCTGACATTTCAAAGCATTTCGCCGTTGGCAGATTGTCCAAATTGTTAGCTAATGGTTGACACTGGCAAACCTCTTGGAGGCTGTCTGCTGCACAAGTTGAGTTTAAGGCTCATTCCGTGCTGTTCAATCGCAATTCAATATGAGATTGGCGCCGCGAAGTAGGCAACGTAAAATTGTAGTTATGAGAGGAAAGCCTGTAGGCAACTTAAGTGCGTCACACAGGCAGGCACACACAAACAAATGCATTTGTAAATGTTAATATTATTATGGCCTGGCTTGCCAAGGTGCCTGCTAATGCTCACGCATAAACTACAGCTAGGAGCTGCCAGTATGGAAGCCGTGGCTGGCATCTTGGTCGCCTCTGCCATGCTTTCAAGCAAATTGATTTATAAATCACGTAATGTAACGAGCACATACGAAATATTTTGAGGCATAATGCGCACACGCACACTCACATACCACACTCACACCACCACTACCACCACCACTTCCACTACCATCACACCCAACGGTGCCCACATAAAACCAAAATCATGTATTATTTAGTAAAATTTGCATTTGGCGCATAGCGCAGTTGCGGGAGCAACCAGAGCTCAACAGCGCATAGTGGAAAAATTCCACATTCTGGGTGTACTTCGTTCTTCGATAAATTTGAATTAGTCTTCGCTATATACATATACATGCACCGCAGAATTGTGCCAGAACCCCATCCTGCCATTTCCTTCACTGAACGATTGTTTAAAGCGAAAAACCCACAAAGAGAAATGGCACGTCAGAGGGTTAATCGAAATTCATATATGCGTATATATCTTATATCTTATCACCATGATGAGACGAATGGATGTTGCGATATTTGTCCATCCATCCAACCATTACTTCTCTCACTGATTTGAAGCTACGTATATATGATCTGTAAAGGTTGTTGTCAGGCCTGAAAATTTAGTATTATTTGCAGGTCAAATATGGACCACTGAGATTACTAAAATCGCATAGGCTACAAATTCTTTTAGTAAACGATGGAGGAAATATAACTTTTTTTAAATATACGTACTCGTAGTACCCATGGCACAGAAATTACGAGTAATTTGATTAGTTTGATCGGAAACTCTCCTATTCAAATAGTTTAATTGAAGTGTGAAAATTGAAATGTATGTTTCGGGAAAAATGAAATGAGAATAATAAAATCTTTGTGATGATAAAAGATACAAATTAAAGTATAGATTCGACTTGAAAGCTTGTATTCGAATACGAACTTTAATGCGAATCAATTGTATTTGCATTGAAGAGAGTTGCTCGTCTAGATTTTACAATTTTACCTAAATATTAATGAATAGGCCACTGTGCAGCATCGCGCACACCTTGGCAGCTATCAGTAGGCACAAGCACGATCGCGAGGCTGGCAGGGGACAGAAGGGTCAGGGGCAGAGGGTCGGCCAAATGTTGCCCGCGGCGTACATAAGTAATAACCACTGCGAACGCATGCACACATAAAATATATTGACGTATGCGAGCAACTCGAAGCAATGTGTGGCGTCTTGGATTTTTACGATATGCTTGTGGGCAGGTGGTGTAGCAATGGGCTAAGGCAACATTTCCATCATAAAAATAAACGTGAGTATGTGTGTGTACTGTATATGCGGGGCATAAATTCATAAACAAGTTCACATACAACTCTACACGCAGCTCAAGTCACAGTCGCAAGTCACACCTTGAGAGTTTTAGGGGTTGTCGGGCAATGCGCCAACTACTTTATGCCTCTTGCAGAATGCTTGGCATTACTATATGATGGTGATGAGCGACTGGCGACAGCAAAAGCGCCATCCACATGGCGTGCAAATGGCTACGAGCCCGAATTCAAACACTGCGCAGCAAAGAAAAATGCTCATAATGCAAATCCCAGAGCGCATATTAAATATGTTTTTGCCCTTTTGTTTCAGGTGTGCACGTGTATATATATTTATGTGTGTGTGTGTGTGTGTTTGTTTGTGTGAGCAACTAAAACATACATTTTTCAGTGTTGCACTTTGGGGAATCGAAGAAGATTTGATGTGCTCGCGCGCCTAAAAGGTTGCAAAGCTGCCTGTTGACAACTTCTGTTTGTTTGTTTGTGTGTGTGCTGATGGCAGATTAGCCATAAAAATCCGGCCGTCCATTTTAGCCAACTTATGCTGTTGTGGCGCACCGGGCACAAAATGAATTTTTAACAATGAGTTTACCGCAGCGCGGCATAACTTGTTTTTGCCCAAAAGCAGGTTACACGCTTTTTTCTGGCCAGCTAGATTTGTGGTTTTCAGGGGATTGCGACAAAAACATAAAAAGGCTAAGCTAAACAATGATCTGAATGTTGCTTTTTGTTGCCACACGGCCCAGTTGCAAATTCGAAGCAGAGCGCTTAGCCTAAAAGCAAACTGCTTATGTATGTAGAGATTGTTAATAATTAACCAAACATAAAACAAACAGCACATCTATTTGCAAAACAAATTCTATTTACTTACATCACAATAAGAAGCGGATATATTCTGCAGGTTCAAACGGAATACGCGATCCCTGCAAATGTAATGAGAGGATTTCGTCAGAAATGGAAAGATATAATTGGCAAAAGCTAAAGGATACTTACATTGCTCCCACGTAAAGCGAATCCCGCTCTTCACTCAAGTGAAATGTGCGATAATAGAGCTTTCCACAAGTAAATTCACGCACATGATCTGGAAAGAAGGGAAAGGACAACGTTATACTAAAAAACATCCATTTAAATATTTAGTCCTAGAACAGTAACCAACCGGGTTTTTATCCGTTTGGTAGAAAACTTATTACATCTTAAATATATTGTTATCACATCTTAAATATATTGTATTTAATACATCAACAGAAAATTTGCATCCATTGCGAAAGAGAGTAAAAATTACGAACTTAGACACCATCTTAGACTACAAATGTATTTTTCTTAAATGTAATAAAATAGCTTACTAAACATAATTACAAGTTTTAATTAAAAACAAGTTTTGTATCAGAGAAGTTCAACATACGTGTATTCCTTCTATTATTGTGTGTGGATGTGATAATACTTTTTAAAGTTTAAGTGCAATTTGTCCCATCAGAATCGTAAACACCAGGTTTTTTTATGGCTGTTAAACGAATAAGCTTGTTACAAATGGCATGAAAAAAGAAAAACCAACAAAATGAGGGTATTTGTCGAATCGGCGAATGATTACTGTTCAATAGTAATAAGAGTTAAGAGCAAAAGAGTTATAGTTATACGAACAAAGTGTCCATATAGTGGCGAAAGCAGTGGTGTCAGCCCACCACCTGCAGCTTTCGAGATGTTTGATATGTCAACTGAAAAGTATTAAAACAGAGTGCAGAATGCAGGACAAAAATTTCGTCGAAACTCATGTTTAAATTTTAATTTAAAGAATTCGAATTTTGGACTCTTGCATCACTTTTGTTTAAGCATTTAATCGATCCCTCATCGTACTATTAACTGCTGAAAATCAAAATGTACAATTACGAGTACATATAGCTAATATTTCTATTACTTTACTATAATTCTTGAGTTTTTCAAATCATAATGTTTTAAACATAACAGATTTGTAGCATCAATTGTGGTCCAACTCAGTTACAAATAGCGTTAAAAGACGTTTCCAAATTCAAGTATCATATTTTTGTCACTCAATGTTTCCTTTGTTATTTTTTATGTTCTTAAATTTGAAGGAACAATTACTATATAAGGAACGGCGGAGCTATGAATATGATTTGTTTAATGACAATACAGCATGAACTAAACAAAAATGTTGAGGAAAGCGAAAATAACAAAAAATCACACATAAGGCACAATTAAAAATTATAATGATAATTCATATTTTGAAAATATTTCAAGAAGCAGAACAACACAAAATGTGATCCTGTACTTATAAACACTGCCCCATCTGAGGAGCTAAGAATAAGTATTTTGGTATTTTTGTGGCTTGGTGTAATCGGAAATGATTTTCCCATATTTGGCCATACCGCAAGGATAATGGAAAAAGATAGAGATTTGTTTTGTTGACAAAGTTAGAAACTGTATACTTCTATATATTATGTACTATTTATTACTACTGTTTGAGCATGAGTGTGTGTATTTTTTGACCGTCAGCAACCACGCTGTTTGTTAAATATTTAGACAACAAATTTCCTTAAGTGAAAAACGTTGCACTCAAAGGGGACAAAGGCAAAGGATATCCAATGCTGTCCAAGCAGCACCACAAATGAGCGCCTGTCAACAAAGTTTATGCAGAGTCTGAGGCAAGGGAGAACGGTGCAGACGATGACAAAACGCAAACATAGTTGGCCAACACAGCCAGACAAATATACAAACACATTACATAGCTACAAAGTTGAACCAAGTATGTGAGTGAATGAGATATCCCATTTCAATCAAATGACATTTTGACATTTCTGCTTCTGGACATTATCGCTGAAGCAAAGTAGCAGAGGAAGGACGAGGGCAAATTGGGAGGAGTGGGGAGAGGTGGAGGAGAATATGTAACCAAAGTGCAAGCTTTAAATGTTGTTTATTTACTTTTAACTTTGACCAAACACACAAAAAGCAGCAAGTGCACTACGTGGAAGGACCGGGACAAGGACGATGTATATGTTTTTCAGAGCGTTGACAGTTGTAACTTTATATGCCATTTCATTTGATTTTGCTGTGCGTAGTGCTCGGCACGTTGACGTGTGTCTAGATACAAAAAATTCCTCTGCAATAGAAAGGAGAAGTTTTAAACTGTACAATGTTGGTAAGTTATCGCACGTCTATGGCAAGTCTAACGGCAAATCAAGCAAAGGACAGACGTGTTTTGATTTGATTTATTCAATTTCAGCAAATTATCTCAAGTAAAGATGACTCCCCATTTTAAATTTGTAACTATATATACTTGGAACTGGAATACAACGCATCGATGGTTGTAATATTTTTCCATCTCTTCAGTACTATAGCTTATTTTTAATAACGATCCACATTTTTATTAAATAGCTAAATGCAATATTGGGAATGATTTCGATATTCACCCAGTTTTTGTCTGCAGTAATATAAGTAATATTGAAAAATATGTAGATTTATGTATTTCAATATTTGCCCAAAAAAGTATGCACAAAATGGATGTGAACCAAAATACAAATGCAATTTTATCCTTTTCGTAAACGAAGTTTGGTTTAATGCAACTTTTCGGTTGATACTCAATAAAAGAACTGACAACAAATAGTCAGTGAGTAATCCTTGCGATATTAGCTTGGTTGTGGGTACATGTTTGTACAGTATGAGTAATAACGGGATATTATTAAAACTCTCAAATCAAATGGGTCAACATATGAGCACCACGCTGTGAACTACAGCAATGTTGTTCAAAACACAGACTGAAGTTGTGCGAAAATGTAGGAAATGGAAATCAGCATCCTCTGGCAGACGCACATGTTAATTTTGGAAACGTCGCGTTGTCTACCACTCTGCATATGAACAGTGGAGTGAGTGAGAAGGGGATAGTGAGATGGCAAAGCGCTGAGCGGGCATTTCTTTAATTAAACTAATTAATATTTGCTTATAAGCGGATGTATGTGTGTGCGTATGGGAATGGGTGCGTGTGGTTGACCAAGACCATACTATAAAGCACATAATAGTGACCACAACACATACACATTCAGCGTATTGTCAATTAATCTGCTGTCATTTTGGGCGACATTCGATGTCTCAAGCAATTAATTTTGCCTGCGGTTCTTACAATTATGTTGTCATGTTCATCGCCGCTATTGTTGTTATTGCCTCTGCCTCTGTTGTTGCTGGCATTGTTATTGCTTTTACTACTCGAGTTGTACATATGTCAACAACAAACAAATTGTCAACTGTCGCCAGTGATGTAATGTAATAAATACGATGGCGACGACGGCGAACAACATTGAGGACAACCACTAAGGCAATGAGCGGCTTGTGTCCTGCGGCCTTTCGACTTGCCAAGCATTTGACGCCTCATATTTCCATACATTTCTGTCATATTTGCACATTTTGACATGGCCTGAATGCCATTTGGAGTGACCTAGTAATGTAAGTGTTTGCATTAAGTCTCGGTTTCTACGCGTACAAGAAATACGAACTGATGATGCCATTGACAAAAGTTTCTAAAGCTGGCATACTGCATTACGAAGCGCATCTTAGATTATTGTAATTTAATGATTTACAGCTACATTTTATAATAAAAAGGAAAATATATATCCACGAATCCTGTTGATAGTCAGTCGATTCGATCCATAGGCCAGTTATATATAAAGCAGTATTGAAAATACTGTACAAGAAATAAAAGTTGAGATGCAACTTTGTGCTTACATATATTAACTCGCATACCCAAACGCACGTATGCGTAAATACATACGAACATTTGCATGAGAACAAAGAATGAAATATGTTAATGCCACCCCCGGCTGTTGCCATACAACAAGTGCTGCTATTTTTGATTTCCGATTTAAAGTAAATTTTCCACAAAAGCAAACAAAACAAACGAACAAAAAGGAAGAAGGCAACGCGACGTCTTTTGTTTGCAAACGGAAAATAGCTACAACTATGACAAGAGCAGCAACAATAAGAACTACTATACATATGCATATGGGTGTACACACAGGCACGAATAAAGGACATTCACATGTACACGTAGTATGCATTGTGCGCAATTCGGGCGAAAATGTCCTTGCCAAACCGGAAGTCGACTTGTATACGCTTGAATTGTTATTGTATTTTTATGCTGCCGCCGATGGTTGTCGAACTTTTTTCGCATTTCATTGTCGTAGTCACTTTTTAGAATGCAAGCTACATAAAAATGGCTGCCATTTCCGTTGGCAGCGAGTTTGGCACATTGTCACATATCGTCTTTAAGCATTGGGGCCCAGTTTAAAGTCGCAAGCTGCAGTCAACATTTTCGGCAATATTGTTACGTTACAGCTTTAGGTTTTATGCCGTGCTGCATCAGCATGATAATGTGGAAGGGGTATTTTCAAAGCACAAACACGCAAGCATACACAACAAGCACACAATAGAAAGCCAAGCCTTTCAATTTGCATGTTGCGTCCATAGTCGCATTCGTATACAAAAGGACACATGATTTTGCAGCGAACGAATTTTCCTGACAGACCCGGGCCTAAATAGTGACAACGCTACTTCGTATGTGCATTGTTTGAAGATTTTGATACAAAAACGGAACACGCACGATGCCGTTTCGAGACAATTTTCAACAAAAACAAAGCTATAAAGTAACAGTCGAAGTAGATACTTATATGTATTAATTGCGCTCATAAATATGCTACAGTTTTTGCTCGTCGACTGCCAATTTTATGTGCGCCAGAACTGTAAATGTTTATGAGGCTTATTTAGTGAAATCTTGCGTAAGTTCTGCGTCGAGCATATTTCCAAGCAGCAATAACAACAACAACGACAAACGCATTGCTACTGCGGCATATTTATGAGGGCAATTTCGAGGCAACAATTTCGCCGGAGTAGTTCAGCATACAATTGTCACAGCATAAACACAGTCAGTATAATAAAGGCAAGGGAAGGGACAGACCTCATGGCATATGTCTCGGCTTTTGGTTGGGTTAAGTCTATAAAAATATTATAAGGCAATAAATGTATCTCACGAAGATAGGCGGCAACAGCAACGCTGATGACGCACAGTGGTTCGTTTCGGCA